TTTATTTCTGAATTTTTCCGTTAAGTTGTCATCAATTCTGTGCAGAATATTCTTAATGAGTGACAGTTTGTACGAAAAGAATATAAAACTTATTAATGTTATAAACATTCGTATTAGTGATGAGATCCGGAATAATATTTTTATGAAACTATTCAAACGTATTGATAGTAATATGGAGTCGTATATGATGTAGGTCAGAAATGTTATGTGAACTAGTTTAGTTAAAATTAGTAGTTTTGTCATAATTGTACTTTTTGAGTTACATTTATTTGTGATATCAAAACTGAAAAACAAGTAAATTATTGAAAACGGATAAAATGCTGAAATATTTGCCATTACTGTACTAGATAATCTTAAATTTTATATAAATTAATAATAAACAAACTTAAATGAATATTTAAACGCTTTTATTATTTTGATTTGTTAATACAAGTGTGTTATTGAAATTATTAATTTAGAGTATAATAAAATGCTATTTTCACGGTTAAATGCAAATGTATGTTGGAAATAAAAATTTAATTAATACTAAAAGCTTTTGTTATTAATATTTTTGATAAAATATATGAATAATTTATTTATCTCAGTTAATTAATTGTACTAGAAACTAAATGAAACATCTGGTCTTTTGTATATATTTCAGTATTATTGTAGTAAACAAAATATTACATTAAATAAATTTAATACATAGGATAATTGATTTTTATTATAATGCATTCAATACAGTACTAAACAAATGTACTATGTTATTATAATATTTATAAATACTTTTAATAGATTAATTAATTTATTGTGAGACAATTTAAGAGATAATTTAAATGCAATGTACAAAATAATTATATATTTACATTTACCAATACCAAATAAGGTCCACAATACAGTATATAATTAAATAAATTAAACTAGTAATTATGATTTTAGTTATAGAAATTAAAGTAAGATTAAAGTAAAAGTTACAATATTGTTTTGAAGTTTAAATAAAAATAGTGTACTAATACTGTATTAAACACTTTATGCTTTATACATACTATCAAAATAATATAACATTTACTAGGTAAAATATAAAAATTTTAAAAACAATTAAACAATTAAAAACAAATGTTCAAAAACAAAGCAAACAGATTGTATATTGATATACCTTAAGTATTAGCCTGCAAAAATTGCATTAACATTACAGTGAACGATATAATAGCGCTTAGAAATGCAAACAAAAACCGTTTATTAATAGTAAATAAATTCCATGCCTTATACTCACTGTCAGAATAAATAGTAATCAATGGATTCAACAAAATAAACATTTCATGCAATTCTCTGCCATTGAATGAGACATTTGTTTGACTTATTTTAGAGATCAGATTGAATAGCAATTCATTGACAGTCGGTCTCTGAGACTGGAAATAGTCGACACAAAACACGTAAACAAAACTCAGGACAAAACTCTGAGCAAAACTGAAATAGCCCTCCAGTTCCCTGACGTGTATGCTATGGTTTGTTAGTATAAAGTGTGATAATCGGACACAAGTCGTGGCAAACAGTTCACAGAATAGTATTAACGGAAAAATACCCAAACATTCATTGATTGAGTCCTTTATGAATTGAATTTCGACAATATTTTTATATAATATACTAATCGGTTGATTAAAGTTCTGATGGCTTTCCATAGCATCCATTTCCATCAGATGTATGGCGTAAGAGATATGAATGAGTAGGAAGGGTAGGGCTATAACCCACCCAAATATAAATACTTTGTATAGACTTGAATAGATTGCGAAAAATAAGGTTTTATGATAAAATACCGGGATCATTTTTATTTTAGAGATCAGATTGAATAGCAATTCATTGACAGTCGGTCTCTGAGACTGGAAATAGTCGACACAAAACACGTAAACAAAACTCAGGACAAAACTCTGAGCAAAACTGAAATAGCCCTCCAGATCCCGGGTATGTATGGTATGGTTGGCGTTGTGCTCGAGTATGATATGTGATAATCGGACACAAGTCGTGGCAAACAGTTCACTGAACAATAGAAACGGGAAAACACCCAAACATTCATTGATTGAGTCTTTAATGAATTGAATTTCGACAATATTTTTATATAATATACTAATCGGTTGATTGAGTTTAATGTGCCTTTCCATGGCATCCATTTCCATTAGATGAATGGTGTAACAGATATGTATGAGAAGAAGTGGGAGGGCTATCACCCATCCAAACATAAATATTTTGTATAGACATGAATATACTGTAAAGTATATGTCATTGTGATAAAATATCGGGATCATAATGTTGAAAATAACAATTAATATCCATATGATACTTAGGTTTAAACTTAATTTTTTTGACTTTTCAATCGAGGTTTTACTTAATTCGGTGTCGATTTGGTGAACAATATTTTTGAACTTGGTAAGTTTGTATTGAAAACATATAAAACTGAATATGAATATTAACTTTTTGCCCATGGCAAATATTCTGTAGAATATTCTCATAAAGTCATGTAATTTACATAATACAGTTAATGAGATGATCCAATGACCGAGTTTATTATTCCCTAGGTTATTACAATAATGAAAATTAATGTTTACTCAAACATTCATAATAAATACAACACTTACAAAAACCAAATAATTATAGAAAATTAAACTAGTATAAAAATATTTATCCCAATATTTTAAAACATTATTTTTCCAATTTTTATTCTCAGGATTATCAAGGTCCTGTTTGTCGTAAAACTCATTAGGATTCGTTTTTGGATCCATTTTAATATTTTTATTCAACAAATAAATTATATATTGTTATAATAAATAATAAATATTGACAACACCAATTGATTTTTATATCAAGTTTTTGCACTTAATTAAATGACATTCTTATAATATCTTAATTAAATTGAAATACTTATATTACATAATATTTTATTCAATGACCAAGGAGTCCTTGGCAAATTCATTGATTAATACTATAAAATTAAAGCAAAAAATTATATAATATTTTTAAACAAAAAGTTTTGGTGAGATAAATAATTATAAAATAGATTTCCGTAGTAAACGTTATCAATGAAAAACATTTATATTTAATTAAACTATTGTATTAGAATATTAAAATTTTAACCACCTTGGCTAATAAATTAATTTTGTATTATCTATTGTTTGTTTATTGTTAATCCATTTACCCTTTGATAAATCATTTTCAGTACAAAAAGCAATTACCGGATTAAAATAATATAATATATTATCAATATAAACTTTAAGGAATTGTAGAAATTGACTGATAAATTGTGTTTGCAATACGTGTTATAATTTATGAAACGTAAGGCTACTGGGACAAATGTACACAAAATGTTTGATAATTTACTTTTAATCCTAAATATGGTGCGGTTATGTATATCGTAATCAAGTGCATGACAGAACAATATGACATGTCTATACCTTATCTCACATCCCTTTAATGATAATATAGTTTTTAAAAAAGATAATATAAATCAACGTTTAAGATTATTGTTATAAGACATTGTTTTTGAATATTAAAATATTAGATTTTATAATTATTAAATTATTAATTAAATTATTGCTAATATAATTTGATATTAATGAAACATGATAACATATTATTTAGTTTTCAAATAATTGAACGAGTAGCACATTCATTTATTTATGCGTAATGAATTGTAATTACTGAATATAAATTATGAAAGTAAATTTTGTTGTATTTTATTGAAACTCTTTGAATTCATTTAATATACGAGTTTTGAGGTCTTTGTAGACTTTAAATCTTTGCTCTGCTGTCGCCTAAAATAAATAATATAAAACATATCATAAGTAAAAACAAAATAACAATTTAAAAATATCACCATAATCTCCATATTTCCCTTCACAAAGACCTCATAAAAGCAATGCTCCAGTTCCTTTATATAGCCCATTAATGCAAAAATCTTTGCCTCTTTTACGAGTGTTTCGCGTGAATTGATTCCTTGTTTAGCGTAAGTGTTGTCCGAAAGTGCATTCATTTCCGCGATATAGGCGTCGATAAAGGCATACATTTGTGGATCAGTCGGGAAATTATTGGCACCAAAATCCGTTCCCGTTTGACACCAATTGATGAAATAGTCGCCGATATCTAAACCCCTATACATATAACTACTCCAATCAAAGTCAATGATAAACACTTCAAAATTTTGGTCATTATCTCCATTGCTGACGAGTATATTGCGGCGGTTGAGGTCGTTGTGGGAAAACACTTCCGGACTCTTGAGGACGCTTTCCTAACCCACGCCATCTCAGCCACGAAATGTTTCACACTTTTGTTTCTCTATCTCTTTCCGTATGACTCCCTGTCTGTAGGACTCAATCCGGTGGCTATCAAACCAGTCCTCGAAAACTATTTTCAATGTCTTTTGTGTGCCGTTTCTGGCAATCGGTATGTATTTTGAGTGCATTTTTGCCACCTTTTGTGCCAATAGTTTGACGGCAATAGGGTTGAGGTCGTCGTCGGCATTGAAATAACGACACTTCATATGAAATATATAATTATTATAACAGAATATTCTATACATTATAAATAAATACCATGCTTACATCAATATACTCACTGATGAACCCATTTTCAAACATTGTATATATTTTTGGCGATATATTAATCTCGGACATTAATATATTGATAACCGTTTGCTGAGTTATGCCCATTATTTCTGTGCTAATATCATCGCTCATATATCTGATTAATAGTTTCTTAGGTGTTGTTTCGACATTTATGGTTAAATAACAACAAAACAGTTTATTCACAAAACCACCCCTAATTTTTTGCAATTATAAAACCAACCAGTATAGTATATTTTGATGTTAGTTTATATGAGACTTGATGACCAGTTGGTCGGCACTAACATCACTCCAATGGCCGCCTAAATGTGTTTTACATAATTCATACACTTTTAGCCGATCCTCAACCGATACATTGCTATCCATTGAATTGAATTTTAAAATTAACTTTTCAGGTTTTTATTGCTTTAACTTGTAAGATTATAAACTAGTAGTATTATATGTTTTATCAACAGTAAATAATTACATTAATATCACTTTGTAAAAACAACACATTTCTCTTATTATATACCTTTTGATCTTTATTATAACCAGTATTATGACAATACTATATATAATTGATAATAAAGTATGACGAGTACTTTTAAAAAATAATGATTAATTAGTATGATAGTAAATATACGTTACAAACATTACTTGCGGTACATGTAAACCAATTGTATTAAACCACATCACCTTATTATTAATCAAGCTAATGTGTTTTATTATGAAAGTACAGATTTATTAGATTTATAATTATAATCAACTCATATTACATGAAACATGTACTGCAAAAAAAATCTAATACAAATTACCCTGAACACATGCACGCATTAAACTGTATAAATAAAAGTTTTAATACGTTAAGTGTTTATCATGAAACAAAATCATTTTTAAATACTTTATTCATTGAATTATATAATTAACTCTGAAATACTTAAGAAAAGGTAATTTGTATAGCCTTGTTAATGTTTGTAATATTTTTTATTTATAGTATAGTTCAGCTCAAGCCTACAGTTTGTTAATGTTTTAGATTTTTTGATCTGTATTTTGGAAGGAATTTCGATCTGAATTTGGTTTCATTTGAGATGTTTTTTAATAACTTATTATTATATCATATAAATTGGTGCAAAGTATTAGAAATCATTGAAAAATATTTTTTATATTGAATAACCTTTTTATAGATAATAATCAATAAGTAATTAATTTATAATTACAATAATATTATTTTGCTATTTAATTACTGTATACCATACATTAATTAATTATCTATTCACATGTACTAATTTCAAATGTCAAATTACAAAAACAACTTTATATTAATTAATGTAAACTTTATTTATCTAAATTCTAACATAAACGTATCAAGTTATTTTAAACAAATAAAAATGTCCGATTTTTATCTATTTTACACAATTTATGTAATTTACGGTTTTAATTTGATAAGTAAATCAACTAAACGTATCACAAAATTGTTTGTTATAGTTATAAAAATCATACAAATATTAGTTCGCATCTATTTTCTATATAGATCAATTGTTTTCATAATTGATTTACCAGGTTTCAAGTATATCCTATTTAGAATCTCTTCAGTGAACAAGTTATTGATTTATTTAACAAGCTATATTTATTTTCAATATAAGATTTCTAAAATATCCAAGCTTATTAACAATATTCACCACAACCTTGATACTAATATGAAAAACAAACTAAAAATTTTTAGCAAACGATTGACTATTATTTGGTTCATTATAATCGCAATAAATATATCTATTGCTTGCTTTGCGTTTAAAAGGCATTATACTAGTATCGTAATTTCAATAACATGGACAATAGTTATTTCTGGTTGGATCCTGGTCATGCCTTTGTCATTACTCCATACCTATTATGCTATACATCTGATGGAAAGTAATCTCTTGGAGAGCACCACAAATAAATCAATTAAACAATTATTACAACATATCCTGAATATACAGCTAATGAGAGATTCTGTGAACTCATGTTTAGGTTTATTTCCATTCCTATTATTCTGTGAACTATTCTCAACGACTTGTATCCGATTAACGCATATAGTCATCGATAATAACATTAATCGTATGAATGCAGGCGAAATCATTGGCAGTATTGGCTATTTGCAGATTTTTGTGCTGGATATCATATTCCTGATTTTAGTCGACTATTTTCAACGCCAGAGACCATCGACCGATGAGATATTTTACAGAATAAGTCAATCAAATACATCGCTATCTGTGCGAGAATTGTATGCTAAGAATATTCTGATACAACATTTAGTCTATGGCTATAATCATAGCAAATTCATGGGCTGGAATGTCTTTACGATAAACAAAAAGTTTTTATTTGTATTTTTAGGTTCAGTCACTACATTCACTGTAATGCTAATACAATTAATGCAAAAGTATTAGAATGACAGTTAATGAATTGATTGCAAAATTAAGTCAAACTTATATAATGAATGATAAATACGGTTATGAACTTGTTTACAATTTTATTCACTTTTATCGGCAATGTTATTGTGTTTAAAATAATGTTAATTCAATTGCTTCAGCCTTAATACTTAATTACTAAATTATTAAATATTTTATGCATATGTATTAATGTTTTTGTCATATACAGTATTTCAATAATTAATAATTATAAATGGTCTAAAAATTCATTTCTAATATAATTATGAAGCAATTAATCAAAATACATACATAGTGTTGTCTAAAAACTATTATATATTCAATAAATTGTTGTTTTATTTAATTTTTATCAAAATAATTGTTATTGTTTTACGATAAAACCTTTTAAATTATATGCATAATTTTGCAATATAACAATTCATCATTAATGACAAACCAAATAATTAATATACATTTTGTTATTGAACATTGAAATAACTTTTGTCACCTGCTTATTTAATAAATTAATGTTGCATAAAAACAAGCATTTAATCAATAAGTACTATTTAACTTCAATACATATTATAATTGTTAATTTAAACTCTCAAAATGTCTGCTCATTATTACTTATCATTACTTATATTAATATTTACGTTTTCCTTGTTTAATTCAAATAATAAAAATTATTTAAAACATATTTTAAATATACTTAAAATTATTTACATATTATTGCAACTATTGACAATTCAATTTTTGTTACGTTCAATACTTAATAAATATAATTTTTACTCAACCTTGTTTATAACTTCAATAATCACCAAATGTATTGCAATTATAATAATTTACGTGTGTTTTTGGTGTAAGATAAATAACATTAAAACTATTCTCAACCAAATTGAATCAAAACTAAACAATTTTTAAAAAATTAAATGTAACAGAGTATGCCTAATATTATCACTCATCTGGATCATATTTGTGATAATCAACGGATCATTAGTTTTATATTCAATGAAAGGTTATTTTAGTATCATACGAAACTTAATATGGACATTTGTCTCATTTGGATGGCTAATAGCCATTCCCCTGTTATTAACACATATAAAATACTGTATTCATGTGCTGGAAATGGATGCCATACATGACAAGAATATTCTTGTGGCCACAGAATACCACAAGAATCCTATCATTCAAATCATTCAACTCAAAGAATCTGTGAATTCATGTTTGGGTATATTTCCGTTTTTCATATTCTGTGAGTTATTCTTGAATACATGTTTACGGATAACATATATGGTATTAAATGGAAAGGGATTTCGCAGGGCATCCCTTATGGGTTATATTGAATACATGCAATTAGTTTTCATAAACCTTTTATATGTGCTTTCAGTTGACTATTTCCAGAGCCATAGGCCGACAGTTAATGAATTGTTTGCGAAATTAAGTCACACTTATAGCCATTTGTCTAAAATAAATGATAATTATATTTTTGTCAAACAATTGGTTGATGTTTATTCTCGCAGTAAATATACGGCTATTAACTTGTTTACAATAAATAAGAAGTTTTTATTCACTTTTATCAGTAATGTAATTGTGTTCACACTTATGTTAATTCAATTACTTCAACCGTAATGTAAAATACTGTTTTTAATAAATAAATTACTATTTGTGTTTATTGTTTAATATAATTACTTTCAAATAAATTCAATTACTTTGTATTTATTATTTATAATGACAATTGTATTGTGAAATTTTTGACCTAAATATAATATCCAAATGTACTCATTTGATAATGTATGTCGTCTGTACTAATAACTAATTAATTATATTTTAACAATAAAATATACAAAATTAAACATTTTATGCACTCTAGCACTTACAATACAATTTTGAAACAATAGAAAGTTGATTAACTTTTATAATATCGTAAATTGGCATACAGTTTAGCTATCATACTTGATTTAATGAGTAACCCAAAATGCTCAGTGCAAATAAACGCGATATTAAAAAATAAAACTAAATTTATAGCATCGTACATTAGTACCGTACTTAATTTACTAGGGAGATTTAAAATTTAATAATCTTTTAAAAATAATAACTCTTATAAATAAAAATGTCAGTTAAGCCAATTTATTATCCATTTTACACTATATTCACAATTTATGGTTTCGATATATATAATCAAAATAACAAATCCTTTATTTATAAATGGTTACTCAATCTATTGAAACTATTGTATATATCACTACATCTGATGTTTATTTATCGTTCAATTATGGCATTAATAACATCATATAATTTCTACAGAACTCTATACAAAATATCGGCACTTAATAAACAAGTTATAATTCAGTTGTGTTTCATATGTATTGCATTCAAAATCACACAAATTAAGACAATTACTGACAATATTAATACCAATTTAACTACACATCAAAAACATAAACTCAAAATCTATAGTACTGTATTAATTATAACATGGTCAATATTTATGGTGTTTAATGTAACTATCATATCGCTTACCTCTGATACCCGGTATATATTTGACGACATACTATGGATATTCACGTCGTTTGGTTGGTATACAGCCGTTCC